TACTCCCTGAAACTTCTCCTTAGTTTCTGCACAACAAATTTATTTAGTTGTTTGGCTTTCACTGACATATGACAAGAAACATTTATCAATATTATTGATAATATTGACATTAACATTGTACAGAGCATAGTGGTCTTATACTCACAGCGAAGCAGGAGAGAATCAGGAATTTTATTCACACAGAGATATCTCCTCAAGGAAGGAGTTAAAATCAAATATGTCCACTACATCCAGAGCCCTGAGAGTGGGGGTTCTTAACAATCTGTTGTTCCTTTTGCTGTCTGTAGGGAGAGAACACACTCTAATTCCTCTGACTCATTTCAGACCCTTCATTGTGAGATTTTTATTCATCCTTATGGGAGGTGTCATATGTACTTTATGCCATGCTGACTTATATGCTGTTGGTCAGAGACCACACTAGAAATAGCCTTTAGCAGTAGCGCCTACACTCATTGTCACAAGAACATTATGAAATTTTCCTATATGATAAAATCTTAAGCTTCATTGAGTAGCTGAATTTAGAATGATTGTGGAAATTATTGTTTCTTGGTGACACTTTTCCAAATTTTATTGTGTTGAAATATACCTTGAAAAAACTTCCTGTGCTTAGACTCCCTGAAGTCTTATCCAAGTTGACAAAGTCAATCTGCACCATGTTTTCATTTGTATCTCTTCACTTGCTTTATTTCCCTTGATGACACCTTCAGTAACACCCTCAAGAAATTAAAGATTTCTTAATAGATGTTATTCTGTGCACTTAAAGATTAGTAATGAAGAAACTCATTTCTGACAGGAGCCTGTTATACCTGTTGCCTGAGAGGCTCTGCAAAAGCCTGACAAATACAGAGGTGAATGCTCACAGCCAACCATTGGACTGAGCCTAGGGATTCCAATGAAGGAGTTAGAGAAAGGACTTAAGGAGCTGAAGGGGTATGCAAACTAATAGGAAGAATAACAATATCAACCAACCAGAATACCCACAGGTCCTAGGAACTAAACCAGCAACCAAAAAGTACACATGGAGGGATTCATGGCTCTGGTTGTATATGTAGCAGACGATGGCATTGTCTGGCATCAATAGGTGAAGATATCCTTGGTCCTATGAAGGCTTTTATCCCCAGTGTAGGGGAATGCCAAGGCAGTAGGGTGGGAGTCAGTAGGGGGAGGGGGAGCACCTCTATAAAAGCAGTTGAGAGGGGATGGGATAGGGGGCATCCTGAGGGGAAACATGGAAATGGAATAACATTTGAAATGTAAATACATAAAATATCCAGTAAAAAATAAAATGTTACTATTTCTGAGCAAGGCTAAAGGTTATCCATTCTGTCATCTCAGTTGTGGGGCAGCTTCCTGCACCTCCAGGGTTTCTGACACACTCAGGATGTGGCTGTACCACTGTGTTTAGCACAGTAATAGACTGCAGAGTCCTCAGATGTCAGGCTACTGAGTGCCATGTAGGCTGTGTTGGAGGATTTGTCTGCAGTCAGTGTGGCCTTGCCCTTGAACTTCTCATTGTAATTAGTACCACCATTTGCAGGATAAACATATCCAATCCATTCTAGACCCTGTCCAGGCTTCTGCTTCACCCAGTGCATACTATAAGTGGTAAAGGTGTAGCCAGAAGCCTTGCAGGAAATCTTAACTGAAGTCCCAGGCTGCACCAGCTCAGCCTCAGATTGCTGCAGTTGAACCTCTGAGTGCACACCTGCGTAGAGAAAGGCAGAGTAGACGTCAGTGCCACCTCAGGCCCTGTCTTCTCTTCAGATTTGGAACTGGTGAGCTCGTTACCTGCAGTTGCTGACAGGAGGAAGAAAAACATCCAGCTCCATCCCATGGTTA